GAAAAACTGGTATCACAGTATAATAAATACTTAAATCGAAACAGCGATTATTCAGAAAAATAGCTGAAAAGTATATAACATAGGGCCTATAACTTTTGTAAATAAAACAGTTTTGATCTTTCCTGTTCGTTTTTTTTCCTTGGCACATAGGAGGCTGACAAAAAATATTCACATAGTAGCCAATACGTTTATTTAAAATTAATCATTCCTAGTCAGAACAAACAAAAAATATTAATATTTTTCTTATATAATGAAAAAAAGCTCTCATATTTTTCCGTAGAAACATTATTCTAGCTGTAGTCTGGGCACTCTTATGCCATGGGCCTTTCAGCGTCACTTAACCGCTCTTAATAATTGTTACGCTACTGGTCTTCTATTAAATGAAGCGCTTCTAACGTAAAATTATGGCTACTACTATAAACTAGTAAATAAATAAAGTTTAATTTATATAAATTAAATAAAATTATAATTAATTTTGTCAAAAATAATCTCTTTTTTATTTTGTTTAAACGCCAGGTTGAGAGTGCATTACGAAACTGAGCAGAGTGTCAGATCAAAACCATATGAAGTAATTTGAATAAACTGCTTTATTGAATTATTGGATATTTCTCCAGAGTGTGCGAAATGATTCATTTGAATGTATCGAAACATTCGAATCAACTCACTTGTCAATAAAGTGTGCCGACTCATTAACGAAACCTCTCACAAACAATGGAAAATCACCTAATAAGTGTAATGCACAACTCATTCCATACATCGAAATTCGCGGCTCTCGATAATATATAGCAAACGTTCAGTTTGTGCTGTTGTTTTTAGATTCCTAACTTAGACCAATTGAAAAATTTACGAACATTTGCAGATAGGTAAATGAGTAAATTAAAGATAAAATTTAAATATTAAAGAATAAAAGGATGGTTAGATGTAGTATTTTATTCGCGTGCTAAAACTCAATTATCATCGCTTCATAAGGTAAAATAAGATTTTAACAGTTTACACGCTTTCAAACTTATCAATATGAAGTTTCAGCCCATGAAATCAGCACGAAACAGCCGAATGGACTCACGGAAACACCTCTACTGGTTCTATTCATTATATCGACTCATTCATTGACCAAGACTACAACCAGAGACGGATCTACATAGGGACTAATAGGGCTTAAGCCCTGGGCCCCCAAGTGTAAAGGGCCCACAAAAATTGAATTATTTTTGTTAATAATATTTCTTTATTTCTTTTTTTAATATAAGATATAAAGTTTGTAATTCAACACAATTTCATAAATAAATATATTTCAACTCTTATTTTTTATGTTATTAAAAATGAATTTTAAACCCCAATTTAAATATTCTTAATCTAAAAAAATGGGGCCCCATTGGACTTCAATAAGCCCTACCCGAAAAACATTAGATCTGCCACTCACTTCAACTAAGTCAATAAGAAGATTTAAAACAACGTATAAACTAATAAACTGCAGTGTAAATTATTAATAAATGAATAAATTAGATAGTGTTAGGAAAAAAGGTTTTCTAACATTAATTCCTTATATTAACATTAACCTATTTTAAACGCTATTCAATTAATATAATAAACGAAAACTTACGCTTCTGACTTCCTGTTCAATGTGATTTGTGTTCCTTGTCGCTCTTGTCTTATCTTCTCACTTTAGAGGTTACAAGCAGTTTTACTCACTCCAATTTCACTCCTATATTTATGCCAACAACTCTGATCACGTGAAAAACAGCCAATAGTAATCTGACATAAAAAATTTCCTATGCCAGTATACATATCCCAGTATATTGCATAATACAAATTATACAAAGTACAGTACTTAATTTTATATCATTTATTTAAGTTTTAATCGCGAATATGTAAAAAAACTGTACAATATAACTTATTTTCAATATTAAAACATCATACAGATATTTTATGTACTTGCAAGATATAAATTTAATAGTTTAGAGAGGAATTTAAAAGATTAGATGAAGAATGGAGTAGAAAAAATTATCTTTAATAAATATCATAATGTTTGTATATAATAAGTAATTTTTTTAAAATTAAAGTTTGTGGTTATTAAGTTATTTCTTGAATCCATTATAAAATGGAATGTAGTTGTTCAATTTATTTTAATAAAGTATTGAACTACATTTTTTTTAAATCAATAGACTAAGTTGCACCTGATTAACACAGAACTACTCAAATTTTTATCAAACATATTTAATAAATGAGTAGCCTAATGATTCATCAAACTGTATGTAATTTAATATTCATAAAGTTCAAATTTAATAAATGCAAACAGGAGTTTTTCTATACTTTAAAATGTATTTTGTCATTAATTAAATTAATGGCAAAATACATTTTAGTGTACAGAAAATACTGACTTTTTTGTATGAGTCAAATCAGCTAGTGAATATTACTGTATTTTGTTAATTTTTTTCAATGTTTTTATAATTTTTAAATGAGTTTATTTCGCTTAATATTTTTCTGTTCATTATTTTATTATTTTTAGTATAATTATATTCCATTCCAAAACCAGAAGTGAAATATTTTATTATTTCTTAACAATTTCCAAGCAAGCAGAATAAGTTTATAGTTGTAAGTTAAGTAATATTTTATGGAGATATTTAAGAAAAAAAATTGAAATTCGATATCATTAATTATTTTTACGACCTTCCAATGACTTTTAAGAAGTAAACACTTAGTTACGATTTCGGTTTTGTTTCCCCTTTTGAATAAAACAATTTTTTCTTTGAAGGGAAGTTTTAGAATCATTTTTTTCCTCTTTAAATCTTCTTATATTTATTTGGATTTAATAATAAAGCCGGCCTTTCTGCTTAACAAATATAATAGCATATTTATAAACTTATTCTGTATTATAAAAATATAATTTTCTTTATAATGAAAGAATAATTAGCCTACATCTTTTTTATGTTAAAATATTGTTTAATTCATTACCACGAACGAAAGATGTAAAATTATAAGCACGAGCAGCTTTTATTAAAATTGCTAATGTGGGAGAGAATAAGCGTTTAATATTGACAGAAATAAAAACAATTTTAATGATATCTGCAGGGACATATATTAATTTATTGATATACTGAAATTCGAGTAAATATGTGTCTCAATTTTCTTGAATTTGAATAAATCGGTGAAGACAGCAAGTCAATAGCAAAAAGGAGAATCTTTTGATTTATTTAGGAATTGTTGTATCATCATATTTTAGTCATTAACTTCACTATCACTTTTATTCTCACTACTTTTACATGATTGTTTCATTTGATCTTAATATTTTAAAAACAATATAACCAGTACTGTATTTACATATCTTGTATTGATATAAAGAAATTGCTGATAATATAGGTACTGTACCAAGCTTGCATACAAGAAAGCTCCCACTATGTATAAGTTATTACGAAAGGAGAAGGACAGGGCCGATAAACGTAGAGCCCCAGGGATGTACAGTGTTCCTGTGAGGGATAACAGATTCGAAAGGGATTTAGTATGTATTGGGTCCACCAAACACTCAATGCAAAAGAAAAAAAAATGCAAGAACATTGGTATGACATTTTGAAAAAAAGGCCTGTCTATTTACGCCACTGNAATGGCTCTGAAAAGAACCGTTGGGTTGCCGATAAATCGGTTATTGGGGCCTTTCTGGTGGCAACGAATTCCTATTTAACCGCCGGATTTAACAAATCTTCCTTTTTTTCCTCGAGGATTTCTTTCTCTTCGACACCCTTTTCCTCCTCTTAGGATTGCGACTTCGGGAGCGTTTCGACTTCATTCGTCTTTTCTTCTTGGGATTTCTTTTTTTCTGGCCCTTCATTGGCTTGATGCAAATGCAAGCTCCCTTCTCGCTTCTGTTTGATTTCATTTTCTTGATCTTGGGAAGATCGACGGCCTTTTCCTCAGAAAAATCTCTTTCTTTCTCGGATCCCTCGCTCATGATTATTTTACTTGTTGCTAGCGGAATGAAGATATGTTCGAATTCGAACTGTTGATTGGCTTCTAATTCTCTGCCACGATTCTTCGATTACGTAATTTAACGTTTGAATTTTAATTTTCACAAAATAACTAATAGCAATATTAATTTGATCTAAACTGCAATATTTTATCTTTATAAAAGTTTTAAAAAATAATCAGCAATTATTTATTGTGACATCATCAGAATGCTGGGATGCAATTTTTAATCATATTTTTAAAAATTTATTTAATTTAAAACATACGCTATCCACCTCAAATTAGTAATTAGAAACAGTCATGCCGTCATGTATCTAACAGCTTTCGGGGGAAAACTTTTAAATTAAAATAACATGACTTCCGTTGGAAGTTCGAATATAGTTAATCTAGTCTCGTCTTTTACCTATTTAACTCCGTTCTTGAGATTAAGGACAGACGACAGTGAGAACTTATAGGTCTACAATTTTTTCAAATTGTAACCCAATAATATCAATTTTATCCATTAATCTAATTCGTTAACATTAAATTGATGTATATGTCAATCGATTGTTCGTGGTCATATTCTTACAATTTAACTGATGATTGGGCTGCAATTTCAAGAAATTGTAGACCTATAAATTCCTACTGTCGTCTTTCCTTAATCTCGAGGATGGAGTTAGTTGCTAGCGGAATGAAGCTATACTCGAATTGAAAGACGAGGTCAGATATGGAAATCATAAGGGAAGGAGGCCCCGATTAACTATATACGAATTTCCGATGCAAACCGGAAGTCATGTGATTTCAATTCAAACCTTTTCTCTTGAAAGGTGTTAAATAAATGACCGACACGACTCTATTGTTAAAGGAAAAGTATGATGTACGGTACAGGGGCAAGCCGCTACTAATTTGAAGTGAATAGCATATATTTTAAATTAAATAAATTTTAAAAAATATGATTAAAAATTACAGCTGGGCATTGTGACCATGTCGCAATAAATAATTACTCGTGTTAATATATTTTTTGTTTCTATTGAAATTTATAATTTTTTAACTGTTATATTTCATAGAGATGCTGACTTTAATTTTAATTAGCACTGCAAAATCCTTGCTAATGACACTTTATTAATAAATAAAATGTATAAAAAGATTTCTATTAAATGTATAAAATAAAATGTATAAAAAGATTACTATTTCTTATTTTCAAAACTAGGACATAGCGCGACTTTATCATATAGCGATAGAATTGAGGAGGAACCGGAAAGAAAGAAGCGCATTTGTAAGGCACAAAAGAGGAGATCCTTGCACTAGCCGACACGGAGAGGCAATCCAAGAACAAAGCAACTGCTTGCTTTGTTCGTTTTTCAGTTTTATATGCAGCTTCGATCTTAAAAATTCTCACCAAAAGGACTAATTTCTTTATTTATTATTTATTTTGAATCTTTCTGCCCTGTGGGCACTAAAACGGCCCACAGGCCAGATGAGGCCCAACATCATAACTCGAAAAGTGGATTTTCATTTTATGTAACTATAGTTATTTGTTTTCTAGTACATTTTATTATATACTAGTTACAAATACATAGTATCTGTATATAAAATACAAAGTATTAAGTTATAATTATAGTTATACAGCCAACAGTAATGATAAAATATTAACATTGATTAATTGAGATAAAATTAACACTGATTGAATATATAGGTGATTTCTCACAAGATATCATTTATTTATTTTGTTTCTTCTTCTTGGACAAATTTCTTCGCCGTTTCTGATATCAATTAACCCTATGTTATAATTTATACAATAGGGCTTCTTTACTATAGCTGCATCATTCTTCTCTAACATCCATAAAATATTGCAATCACAATTGATTTTAATGTCTAAAGAAAATTTTAAAAATTAATTAAGCAAATATTTTTATTTTACTATGAAATATAAAATACTATCATAAGATTATACTTAATTTTATTATACTATACCTATAGGATAAACCAGGGTTAGATTGTGAAGTTAAAGATTGTGCCACGTGTAAGTATACTATGGTAGTTAAAAGCCATGCTTGTTGTGTGTTCTGTTTACGCTCAATTACTGTAAAAGTAGGTGAGTATATCGAATGTTTCTGTTTCTGACTTATGGAATTGTTTACATATGTTTACTGTGGCCTGTAAAATTTTAAAATCATTGGACGACTTTTTTTCCCCTTTAATTTGATTCATTTAAAGTATAGTTGTTCAATTTTTTAACTAAAAAAAGGAATTTTATTTTCGATACATCAATGTCAGCATTGACATCTCATTGATAGCTTTTTAAAATACCATATATGTTTCTATGTTGCTTACAAGTTGCATAAAGAGGATAAAAGTATTGCAATTAGCATTTTCACTTTACACAAATCATGTACCAATGTTGCAAGAAAACAGACTAATTTAATCGACTAACCGTATATAATACAGTTAATATAATTTTCCAAATTCATTTATTTTATTTAAATAATTATAGCAACTACCGTACCCATCCCCCTATATAGCCTTTTGTGGTTTTTTTTTTCTTCTTCTTATACTCCTCCACCTAAACCAGGACCATGATTTATGGATGAAGCCTTACATCGAAAGTGTCTTTAAGACATGTTATAAATATAGACAAAGTACTTTTCTTTCAAATTTTTATTTCTTGCCAGGTTATTAAGGTAATAATGAGACTGGTGATGTAGCGTAATCGATAGCCGGTTGGAAATATTCCATTATTTAAGACTGTAAAGAAGCAGATAACTGTAGATTATTTGCATAAAAGAATAAAGATATCTTGCTCTTTTCGAAAAACTGTCTTAGCAATTTTTAGATAAAACTGTAATTTAAAAACAATGACGTTCATATTAAACTAAGAAATTCTAAATACAGTAATTTAAAAAAATGAAAAACTCATTGTTTTTATTAATCAGAATATTTAAATTTAAATATGTTCATGGTTGGAAATGTAGCATTATTTAGTATCAAAATTTGTATTAAAGTAAAGTAACAATTATAAAATCGATCGAGTTTTCATTCATAATTCATACAAATTATTTTATATTATTTCATTACTTACTGTTCATATAAATTTCTTCTAGTTGATTCCAAACAGGGAAAAATGTATTGTTAGACAAAGAAGAAACTCTAATGCCGGAAAGCAGAAGAAATTCTAATCGGTCCATATTTTGGAATAAATCTTCTGGAAGTTGGGTGATTGGATTACTCCTAAATAAAATAAAAACACATTAAAGAATATATTATTTCAAAATATATACAGGTATTTTGCTGTCATGTATCAGTGTTTTGATATTTTTTATTGATTTATTATAGCAACCGATCAATTTTTCTATTTTTTTTTTAATAGTTTGTGATTATTTCGTCTATAAAAACTTAAAGTGTTCAAAGAAATTAATATTTTTTGTAAATGATATAATTAGATAAAGTAATACTTATACAATATAAATTATCAATTAAAATTGTACAATAATATTATTAAAATATGAAAAAATACAGTAAAAGTCCTCTAATCCGATAATTACAGACAGGATCGGTATAATGCCGGATTATCCGATTTCTTTTATTTTTTCTAGCTACTTTGATATCAACTATAAATACTTCAAAAATTATTATATGGTATAAAGCAGGGATTTTCAACGGGGTTGATATAGACCCCTATGGGTTAATGGAATATTGAAAGAGGTCGATTAAACTCAAGAGGTCAATTGACAGTCGATGGAAAAACCTGATAATTATAGCACTTTTCGAGAATTTCAGATAATTTTCAAATAAGAATAATAACAATTATGTGGTAAAAACATTAACTGATTTAATAATTTACTTGATATGTTACGTAAAATCTTGCGAAATAACATGAAAATTTTAAGGGGATCGATTGAAACGAGTGTTTTCTATATGGGGGTCAATACGAGGAAAAGGTTGGGAACCCCTGATGTAAAGAATAAATTTGTTCCTCATAACTACAGGAAATCTTCGTTACTTCGAAATTCAAGGGACGAAATAATCGCGACTTCGTATTATAGAGTTTTGAATTATCCGAGATTTACATATTTCTGTACAGTATCGATGGATATCGATGGAGTAAGCCGAATGCCACGTAACTGATGTAATTTATTAAGCAAACAGAATACGGCTACGTATACAGATCGTTATTTTCGTTAATTAATAATTAATGATAAAATTGATAATATAAATAAACTGCAGGTAAGCATCACATTTCGGTGAGAACCTCACAGGTTGCTAGATAAGTTTTACAAAAAGTAAAGCAAAATTCCTCGAAATAGAGCCCAAATTATTTTTAAAGTGGCCAAAAAAATAGTAAGTCCTCCAAATATAATAGCCTAGAGCCCTACAAATATCTCAATCTGCTACTTGTAGCCCAACTTTCAATCCCGAAACCCAGCCGTATTTTATGAGATAAGAGGGGAAAAAACGGTTCATATGTAGGGTTATACCGGAAAATGTGTTACTGTAAAAGCAAAGTCATATTGACCAGATTAGAGTTGCTCTTTGTCTATCTCAATCCCTGACCAAAACTTCGATAAGATTCGGGCATGCTGAATTTATCTGCCACTGAAATAGAGGATTTTTGCTGTATAAAAATCTAATAAATTTTAAAAATATTTAAAAAAAAAAAAGAGTTTAATTGACTTACGCCAAAGAGAGATATCTTAATTTTCTAGCTTGTGAGGGAAACATAGATCGAGAAATTTTCGTTAATTGATTTTCATCGAGTTCTATTGTTTCTATTAGAGAGAATTTTGTCAATGCTTGATTTCCCAAGTGGATAATATTACAATTTGTCATCTTCAAATTTCGTATTTTTGAAGGAAAGTTTTTGAATATGGCGTTACTCATTTCTGTTGGTAAATTTGTTTTTTCAAATTTTAATATTTTCAAAAATTTTAACTGGTTACCCTTTTGCCAAATAACATGATTAATTCTACATCTTATAAACTGCAATTCTTCTAATTCAAACTCTAAACCTTTAAATGATGAAAACAGAACGAGTGTTTCAAAACGGACGTCTTCAAATATTATCTTCTGAATGTGTGATCCTTTAAATATTCCGGTCGGCAAATGAAAACTCGAACTTCTGATTCTAAATTCGTCCACGAAGAATTCACGAAGAAAATTTAATGCCGTTTTAAATTCCTCTTCGTTCTTAAAGCCTTGACAAATTATATTAACGCTGCTATTTTGATGTTTTTCACAAACACAGCTATTAAAATAACTTATTTGTTGCTTTAGTCGTGTTTCGGGAAAATGTTTTGTGTGAGGACATCGATGAAGTAAGCCAAATATCGGAGTAATTATCGATATCAAAATTAACAATAAGGATTTCATTTTTTAATATTTGAATTTTTAAAATTCTGAAAAATATAAAGAAAGTTTAATCAGTTGAATATTTAGGCTGTTTAATAAATATAAAACAAAACAATTATGAAAAAATTGTATTGATACATAATTTGAAATACATTAATTAATAAATAAATTGCTAGGACAATAATAAATATAAAAAATATTCACAAACGAGCAATTATTTATTGTGACATCATCACAATGCCGGGCTGCAATTTTTAATCCTGTTTTTAATTTATTTAATTTAAAATATATGTTTTCGATCTCAAATTAGTAGTGTCTTGCTTCTGTACTGTACTATGCATCATACTTTTCCTGACCACAACGGAGTCGTGCCGGTCATCTATATAATTCCTTTCTGGGAAAAATATTTGAATTGAAATCACATGACTTCTGGTCTAGACCAGAAGTTCGTATACAGTTAATCGAAACACCTAAGCTTTGCATTATAGCTATTACTATACTTGTTTATAGAGTTTATTTTAAGCATGGTCTTTGTATCAATAAATTGACGTTTAACTTTATCAAATGATAATAATTAGGGGAGACCGGGGCAACTTCGGCATGCGGGGCAAGTTTGTCAAGCGCTTTTTTTTAAAAACAAATTAAAAGGAGACTTTGGTTATAGGTTAGGCAGTTGAGTTTTATTGGTGGCTTGTTGAGTGTAGTGTTTTTATTGTTCTCCAACAAGCGTAGTTGAATTATCAAGCAAATTTTCATTTTCGTTCAATTCCATATAATATTTTTTTTCCATTTATATTGAATTGGCAGGTTTTGTTATAATTCCATGATAACGAAAGTTACTTTTCCTGTTAGAAGGATGTAACTTCAACTTATTCACGTGGCCAGATCGTGGCTTGGCATTCTGTTCTCAGGGTTGTACTTAATGTTTCGAAATCATGACTAGCGGGGTAAGATCGGCAACATAAAGCCACATTAGAAGCAAAGGATAAAAATCAAACAGATGATAAATGAAAACATGTTTGCATTTGTTATTCATGTATATATGTCTTTGAACTTGCATTTCGTTGTAATAATATTAAATGGGTGTTGGATTTGTATTTCTTTGTTTTAATAGTGAATTCCAACTTATACATTGTTAATAACATAATTTTATATACGTGCCTATCTTGCCCCATTACTGTTGCCCCTATACCAGGGGCAACTTTAATAAAAATAATTAAAATAATTACAACTTTACAAAAAGAGAGAAGTTGCCGATCTTGCCCCTATACCCGGGGCAACTTCGTCAATTTCTCTCTTCTTGTAAAGTTGTAATTATTTTAATTATTTTTATTTCCAAACTGATTTTAACCAGTTCTATAGTAAGGTAACATTCCAATAGACAATATGCAAAGCTTTTTTTTCAGTTTACAGCAGTATTTATTACACAAAATTTAAGTAAAGCTTAACATGCCGATCTTGCCCCGGTCTCCCCTATATAATTATTTTATTGCGATTAAAGGAATCAAAAAATCAAAACTGTTTTATTTACAAATCTGTTTCTATTTAGGCATTTATCATACCGTGGCACCAGCTTTTCTATACCCTCATCAAAGAAGGTTGTCTCCAGATCGTCTCAAGCTGGACTTTAACTCCTGGTTAATTTTGAACCCCTACCTTCCTAACCACCGCTTCATGTGATTGAATAGAAAGAAATCATTCGGTGCTAAGTCTGGGCTGTACGGAATCAAATACTGTACTTCCCATTTTAACTTCTGGAGGAGTTTCATCGCACTACACGACTATCACTGTACCCACGTACTGCGAGACTCTTCGACAACTATGACGGACAATACAAAACAAGAGAAGGGGAATGTTTTCATCAGGAGATGTCCTTCATGATATGCGAGGACGAGCGTTATGTGCTCGTCCTCGCAGACACGGAGCTCTCAGAAGTTCAAATGGGAAGTGTTTGAACATACGCCGTACAGTCCAGACGTAGCACCGCGTGATTTCCATCAGTCCACTTAAATGAAGTATGTTTAAGAGAGCAGAGTTTTCAAACTAATGAGAAGTTGAAGACCAGCGAGGATTGGCTGAGCGACCTGCGGCAACTTTCTTTGATGAGGGTATAGAAAAACTGGTATCACAGTATAATAAATACTTAAATCGAAACAGCGATTATTCAGAAAAATAGCTGAAAAGTATATAACATAGGGCCTATAACTTTTGTAAATAAAACAGTTTTGATCTTTCCTGTTCGTTTTTTTTCCTTGGCACATAGGAGGCTGACAAAAAATATTCACATAGTAGCCAATACGTTTATTTAAAATTAATCATTCCTAGTCAGAACAAACAAAAAATATTAATATTTTTCTTATATAATGAAAAAAAGCTCTCATATTTTTCCGTAGAAACATTATTCTAGCTGTAGTCTGGGCACTCTTATGCCATGGGCCTTTCAGCGTCACTTAACCGCTCTTAATAATTGTTACGCTACTGGTCTTCTATTAAATGAAGCGCTTCTAACGTAAAATTATGGCTACTACTATAAACTAGTAAATAAATAAAGTTTAATTTATATAAATTAAATAAAATTATAATTAATTTTGTCAAAAATAATCTCTTTTTTATTTTGTTTAAACGCCAGGTTGAGAGTGCATTACGAAACTGAGCAGAGTGTCAGATCAAAACCATATGAAGTAATTTGAATAAACTGCTTTATTGAATTATTGGATATTTCTCCAGAGTGTGCGAAATGATTCATTTGAATGTATCGAAACATTCGAATCAACTCACTTGTCAATAAAGTGTGCCGACTCATTAACGAAACCTCTCACAAACAATGGAAAATCACCTAATAAGTGTAATGCACAACTCATTCCATACATCGAAATTCGCGGCTCTCGATAATATATAGCAAACGTTCAGTTTGTGCTGTTGTTTTTAGATTCCTAACTTAGACCAATTGAAAAATTTACGAACATTTGCAGATAGGTAAATGAGTAAATTAAAGATAAAATTTAAATATTAAAGAATAAAAGGATGGTTAGATGTAGTATTTTATTCGCGTGCTAAAACTCAATTATCATCGCTTCATAAGGTAAAATAAGATTTTAACAGTTTACACGCTTTCAAACTTATCAATATGAAGTTTCAGCCCATGAAATCAGCACGAAACAGCCGAATGGACTCACGGAAACACCTCTACTGGTTCTATTCATTATATCGACTCATTCATTGACCAAGACTACAACCAGAGACGGATCTACATAGGGACTAATAGGGCTTAAGCCCTGGGCCCCCAAGTGTAAAGGGCCCACAAAAATTGAATTATTTTTGTTAATAATATTTCTTTATTTCTTTTTTTAATATAAGATATAAAGTTTGTAATTCAACACAATTTCATAAATAAATATATTTCAACTCTTATTTTTTATGTTATTAAAAATGAATTTTAAACCCCAATTTAAATATTCTTAATCTAAAAGAAAATGGGGCCCCATTGGACTTCAATAAGCCCTACCCGAAAAACATTAGATCTGCCACTCACTTCAACTAAGTCAATAAGAAGATTTAAAACAACGTATAAACTAATAAACTGCAGTGTAAATTATTAATAAATGAATAAATTAGATAGTGTTAGGAAAACAGGTTTTCTAACATTAATTCCTTATATTAACATTAACCTATTTTAAACGCTATTCAATTAATATAATAAACGAAAACTTACGCTTCTGACTTCCTGTTCAATGTGATTTGTGTTCCTTGTCGCTCTTGTCTTATCTTCTCACTTTAGAGGTTACAAGCAGTTTTACTCACTCCAATTTCACTCCCATATTTATGCCAACAACTCTGATCACGTGAAAAACAGCCAATAGTAATCTGACATAAAAAATTTCCTATGCCAGTATACATATCCCAGTATATTGCATAATACAAATTATACACAGTACTTAATTTTATATCATTTATTTAAGTTTTAATCGCGAATATGTAAAAAAACTGTACAATATAACTTATTTTCAATATTAAAACATCATACAGATATTTTATGTACTTGCAAGATATAAATTTAATAGTTTAGAGAGGAATTTAAAAGATTAGATGAAGAATGGAGTAGAAAAAATTATCTTTAATAAATATCATAATGTTTGTATATAATAAGTAATTTTTTTAAAATTAAAGTTTGTGGTTATTAAGTTATTTCTTGAATCCATTATAAAATGGAATGTAGTTGTTCAATTTATTTTAATAAAGTATTGAACTACATTTTTTTTAAATCAATAGACTAAGTTGCACCTGATTAACACAGAACTACTCAAATTTTTATCAAACATATTTAATAAATGAGTAGCCTAATGATTCATCAAACTGTATGTAATTTAATATTCATAAAGTTCAAATTTAATAAATGCAAACAGGAGTTTTTCTATACTCTAAAATGTATTTTGTCATTAATTAAATTAATGGCAAAATACATCTTAGTGTACAGAAAATACTGACTTTTTTGTATGAGTCAAATCAGCTAGTGAATATTACTGTATTTTGTTAATTTTTTTCAATGTTTTTATAATTTTTAAATGAGTTTATTTCGCTTAATATTTTTCTGTTCATTATTTTATTATTTTTAGTATAATTATATTCCATTCCAAAACCAGAAGTGAAATATTTTATTATTTCTTAACAATTTCCAAGCAAGCAGAATAAGTTTATAGTTGTAAGTTAAGTAATATTTTATGGAGATATTTAAGAAAAAAAATTGAAATTCGATATCATTAATTATTTTTACGACCTTCCAATGACTTTTAAGAAGTAAACACTTAGTTACGATTTCGGTTTTGTTTCCCCTTTTGAATAAAACAATTTTTTCTTTGAAGGGAAGTTTTAGAATCATTTTTTTCCTCTTTAAATCTTCTTATATTTATTTGGATTTAATAATAAAGCCGGCCTTTCTGCTTAACAAATATAATAGCATATTTATAAACTTATTCTGTATTATAAAAATATAATTTTCTTTATAATGAAAGAATAATTAGCCTACATCTTTTTTATGTTAAAATATTGTTTAATTCATTACCACGAACGAAAGATGTAAAATTATAAGCACGAGCAGCTTTTATTAAAATTGCTAATGTGGGAGAGAATAAGCGTTTAATATTGACAGAAATAAAAACAATTTTAATGATATCTGCAGGGACATATATTAATTTATTGATATACTGAAATTCGAGTAAATATGTGTCTCAATTTTCTTGAATTTGAATAAATCGGTGAAGACAGCAAGTCAATAGCAAAAAGGAGAATCTTTTGATTTATTTAGGAATTGTTGTATCATCATATTTTAGTCATTAACTTCACTATCACTTTTATTCTCACTACTTTTACATGATTGTTTCATTTGATCTTAATATTTTAAAAACAATATAACCAGTACTGTATTTACATATCTTGTATTGATATAAAGAAATTGCTGATAATATAGGTACTGTACCAAGCTTGCATACAAGAAAGCTCCCACTATGTATAAGTTATTACGAAAGGAGAAGGACAGGGCCGATAAACGTAGAGCCCCAGGGATGTACAGTGTTCCTGTGAGGGATAACAGATTCGAAAGGGATTTAGTATGTATTGGGTCCACCAAACACTCAATGCAAAAGAAAAAAAAATGCAAGAACATTGGTATGACATTTTGAAAAAAAGGCCTGTCTATTTACGCCACTGATCTTGACGTGCGGGCCTTACGGCCAGCACGTCAAGCTCAGTAGCGTAAGGCCGTAAGGCCGGCCACTGAGCTTGACGGGCCGTAAGGCCGACCTGATTGGCAAATGTATTAATTTTAAGGACGGAAAAACAGTCTCGTATGCATGGCAATGCTTTTACGATAAACCGGGGAATCCCGACATAATCTAATTTTATTAATTAGTATTACGTTATTCCTAAAATTTTTATATATGTGTTAGCTTTATATAGGTGTTAAATTTATATTTTATTGTTATATATCGTTATGTTTGTAATAAACGTACAATAAAAACATGCAGTAGTCTACTTTCGAGTACAGTAATATTCAAGTTGCCAAAAGAAACTTTTTAAACATGAAAAGATGTCCATTTACTAATTAAATTTGCCTACATTTTCTAGAAATATTATAAAAGCAACAATATGAACACTGGCAGATAGACTAAAGGGACGTCGGCGCCACTAACTTCTCAATCGGTAGTCTCGTCGTTGGCTGGCCTTTGCCAAATAGCTCGTTCGGCTACCGGGGCAAATATGGCGTTCAAAATTTTGTTCGTAAATCGAATTGTACTATAAGCGAGGCGTTCGAAACCCGAGATTTGACTGTATTTAATTTAAATTATATACTATCACCTCAAATTAGCAGTGGCTTGTTTCTGTGCATTATACTTTCCTGCTAGCAACAAAGTCGTGCTGAACATCTATGTAGGCCTAACTCCTTTCCGGAGAAAATATTTGAATTGAAATATTGGGATTTCCGGTCTAGATCGGAAGTTCATCGGGACTACCTGCCCCTAAGCTTTCCATACCTGGTCTTGACTTTCGTCTATCTGACTCCGTTCTCGAGATTATGGAAGGACAGACAGAGGAAATTTATAGATCTACAATTTCTTCAAATTGCAGCCCAACAACCAAAAAATAAAATATTTTAAATTATTAAGTTAAGATACACACACATGGTGTAATTTCGAATATATATTTTNGATCTACAATTTCTTCAAATTGCAGCCCAACAACCAAAAGATAAAATATTTTAAATTATTAAGTTAAGATACACACACATGGTGTAATTTCGAATATATATTTTTATTTATTTTTGACTCTTTTCATCCTATGGGCAATAAGTGGGTCTTTGTTTTCTCCCTTTATGTACTCATTGTTGGTTCAGCCTGGTCTGAGATGAGCGCGTTGCTCATAAAATATTCCTATAATCTTTAAAATCAGGACATAAAGATAATAAATTTATTAAAACAAATAAAAGAAACATATAAGCATATAAATATCAAATATGAAATAAAATTAACAGTTAAAATAAATTGAGAAACTGATTCGAAGAACAGTTCTTTGTTTTCTTTTTTAGTAACTAAGAAATTTTTTATTGACTAGGAAAAATTCCTCATTTTAGCGCATAAATATCAAATATGAAATAAAATTAACAGTTAAAATAAATTGAGAAACTGATTCGAAGAACAGATCCTTGTTTTCTTTTTTAGTAACTAAGAAATTTTTTATTGACTAGGAAAAATTCCTCATTTTTAAATGAATTGTATAATATTACATTCATTTGCAGTTTTAAAACTTAAATTAATATGTTTTGCGATATATAACCAAAAGTAAGTTATTTATTTTATAAATAGAATGTTTTGGTTGCATGTTTGATAAATCGACTTATAAACTTGTTTTAGTGAAATTCTTTTTTCTAAAATGGTTATAAACAAATAAAGAGCTGATCTTCAATCGAGAATCGGACGGCTATCGATCCTTATTAACGTGAGCACTTATATGGCATCAGGTTTAGCCGATCTCCACATTTAAAATAATTCTAAATGCCCCTAATTTACAGATGAGCATCATTGATCTGTTCATTGTCAATGTTTGACGAAACTCTACCCTTTTAGTAACTCCTTGCGCTTTCTTTTCCTTTTCTTCCAAGTAGTCCTATACATTACTTATATAAGAATATTTTGGTAATTTCTGTAGATAACTGGCTTCTGGATGGATGACATGTAGGACTACATGAAAAATCTTTTCCTCTTCTGTAAAATCTAGTTCTTCTTCATGCTTCCAAAACGAGTCTTAAGCACTACTAACGAGAGATTCAGGTAAGATTTCTGTAATTGCAAATCTTTGTTTCCAGTTACATATTAAAATTTATCGTATTTTATCTTAAATACAAACAGAAATTGAAAAGTTTTAAATAAAACATTAATTCTTTTTTTCGTATTGCAAACAAGAATCTTAGAAAATTTTTCAGATACTATACTTCTCATAAAGAAGGCGAACTTGCCAAAGAATATTCAAATTTTCAACAATTATTCCAAGCTTAGCGTAGTAATTTTCTTCAAAACACAATAATTTGAAAGATAAGTGCCCATTTTCTATTACAAAAACACGGCATAACTGCGAAGATGATAGACAAGTTTTGCACACACGCGAATACGTTTCTGATGGTGTTGTAAGATTGTAGGATTGATGGGATAAGGCAATGCAAGAAGTGGGCGATCTGTCTCCCAGGAGGAATTTCTATGAGAAACTGGGTATTAGAAACTTCACGTGTCTAATACCCTGTTCAGGTATTAGACACGTGAAGAAAACCTGGAAAACTACACGCAGTCGTCTGTTGGCGAGGAGCGAACCCGCAACCAATTACAGGGTTCAATGGTTTTATCCATTTGGCCATTAATGGATTTTTCTGAGGTGTTGAAAATATAGGTCGGGTGACTGACAAAGCCTTTTTTGTTTTTTTTTTTTATTTTTTTTTGTGGTTTTAGGCCCCTTACCGCTCAGAGAGCACAAAGAGGCCAACNTTTTTTTCAGTTTACAGCAGTATTTATTACACAAAATTTAAGTAAAGCTTAACATGCCGATCTTGCCCCGGTCTCCCCTATATAATTATTTTATTGCGATTAAAGGAATCAAAAAATCAAAACTGTTTTATTTACAAATCTGTTTCTATTTAGGCATTTATCATACCGTGGCACCAGCTTTTCTATACCCTCATCAAAGAAGGTTGTCTCCAGATCGTCTCAAGCTGGACTTTAACTCCTGGTTAATTTTGAACCCCTACCTTCCTAACCACCGCTTCAT